CCTGCCCTGTGAGCACTGCCAGCTGCCGCAGCGTGGCACACGGTCCGACAGTCATCATCAGGAAGAGCAATACTGGGTTTGTATATTTCTATTTCTATTAGTAGTAGTATTAGCTTTAATATTATACTATTTTTCATGGTTATTGTTTTATTAAAGTTTGTGTTAAGTTTCCAACCCATCAGTCTCTCTCCCTTTTCTCCTCTCCTTCCTCCTCTGGGAAGGGACGGGGTTAACAGAGAGTATCTGCCACCCGCTGTAAGTGCCAGCCTGGCCTTAAACAGTGACACATACACATGTCTACACAAAGGAATGATGACTGACCAGGGAACAAAACCAGATCCCACAGACCCAGTCAACATTTGACATGCTGCTGCTACGTTGCAACTGCAACACAGGCTACAGTTTTTTGTTTTGTTTTGGGTGTTTGTTTGTTTGGAATTTTTTTGTAATAATATCCTCTGAACATCTTGCTGTACTAGTCAAGAGTGTCTTACCTGGAGTAATAATAATATTATTGGCTTCCTTTATCATTTCAATTGCATTGTCCACGTTGATTTCTGTGTGGGTTCCAGTAATTTCCATGGGTTTCCCACCAGCTGTTGATGTGGTCCCATAGCCCCCTAGAATCACATTCGCAAGGGAACGGTTCATAGCCTGAAAGACAAGAGATTTCTGATCAGCTGAAGAAGAAATCCAAAAATAAAGGAGAGGAGATGTCCACAAAGAAAACTTCTGAAAACATTAAAGCCATCCTTACAATAGTCTTTATCTGCTGGTTTTGCCTGCTTACAACTCAAAACTTCTTAAAACAAGCTCCTTGAAACAGAGATCCAGATTAACACAATAACCAAACGTCAACATCAGCTTCTAATGCATTACATTATACATGTAATGACAGCATCAGCATTTCCCCAAGACAAAGGAAAAAACAGCTCAAATAGCAACTATCAGTCTCTCTTTGTTCTTAAAAGGGAGAGATATAAAAGAATGTGTATTTGATCACAGAACATTTTTTTTTACATACATATACACACACACACAATATTTGCACAATATTTTCTTAAGTTCTTGAGCAATTCAGCATGTAAGCACAGAATTGCTACATGACAGCATGGAAACCACATAGCTCTTACAGGTAGTACTGAAGCAAAGCATCAAGACAGGAAAAAATACAATAAAGATAAGTAGCCACACAAAACTACCCAAATGCTAATTCAAAAAAAATTGTAATGAACCGAAGGGGGCCATTAACTTACTGGCTGAGCACCAAAGGGGAACAAGAGATCTTAAACTAGGAGCTTCAAGAGGGCAACACATCCTGAAAATTTGGCTGTCAGATACATAGCCAGGAAAAGCCACTGGCTAAATGGCTTTCACTGGCATGCCTCCTTGTGAGCGTGGTCCCAATGCAGTATCTGGCAACACCTGGAAGTAGGCAAAACTTGTAATTGCAGCAAGCAAAACTTTAGAAGCAGGAAAGGAACAGGATAAATTGCTTCTTTAATTAAACATGCATGTCATACATCTGCTGTGTTAGCTCAGAAACCACAGCAAATTTTAAGAATGGATCTGGACAGGCACACATACAAGCAAAAGGAAACACCTGCACAAATCTATGCTTCCAAGTGTCCATTTTCCACTGACATTTCAAATCATGCAACTCCACAGGTTTTTTGCTATAACCTGAGAAGATATGTCATTCTGTGAAATTCATAATCTAGCAAATAAGCACAACAAAGATGTTACAAGAACTTTTGTTTATCCTGATAAATCATCACTGTTTCATGATACTGTAAGGAAGGCATACAAATGCAGTGAAATCAACATCTTTCTACTGTCTGCAGCAGGCAGTAGTTGATACGAACACAGTGCCTTTAAGGCATATCACAATATTAAACCGCCAAACAGAAAAACAGGCTACCTAGAATAATACAGCAGTTAAGCATCAGGTAAGACAGCCTAAACAGAAGAACACCCTCTTCAGGTGTTGTGCACGCTAAGCTTACAAGAAGCAAAGCACTTTTTACACATATCTAAACCAAAAAACAACAGTAAGACCAGCCCAAAGGAACAAAAAGTTCTAATATTATTAGAAGTCTGAGAATCCACAAAATGCAAGCATGAGATTGAAGTACCCTTGCCTGGCTCTGCACCAAAGAGCCAAGGAAAGAGGAGGGAAGTCTGGCAAAAAAAAGGGGGTGGTAGAGAAGGCTTCAAAATGAGCCAAGACCTCATCAAGCAACAATTAACCAATGCAGCTAAGACCTACTCAGCACAGGGACAGTGTGGAAACTCTTCTATAGCCTCTTTCACCTTCTTTACCACCACAGAACACAAACATATATGAATAAAGTGCAGGCTTCACCATTCACATAAATTCAACCTCCAGCAAAAAGCCTCTGTGCTGTGCATACACAGGTGATAACTGCCAGGAACTTACAGCCCAAGGAAAAACAAACCCTTGAGCCTTGAGAACTCAAAGTCCTTCCACTATGCCCAGAGAAACTGCACAGCTAGTACAGGTGATGGCCCAGCATACAAGGCTAACAAAATTTGTCCCTTCTCTTGCTCTGTTTCATTATCCCACTTAATGGTTGCCCTTTGACCTGAAGCATTTTCCCCATCCTTAAGCATACCGATTCTAATACTACAGTTGCAATCATCAGTTATCCACTCTGCAAAAAAAAAAAGGGATAAGGACGGGCTAATACAATCAAGTGTTCTGAAGAAGACATGTTGTGTTAGTGTTTTAAAAGAAGTCACAATTCACAGGATGAGTGAACAGTACAGGTATTTGCTTTTTTGAAGTTAAATTTGGAAAATCAAGCAGATATGAGTGCAAAAACTAAGAGGTTACCTGAATACATGTTGGCCAATTTTATGAACTCAAGCTTTAAGAGATTATCTGGATAGTCTTTGGATGATTAAGCTACAGTTTTATCACAAAAAGTAATTAGAAATGTTGTAAAACGGAGATCTAGACCATTAAGATGTTTCCACAAACACCTTCTCATCTGTACTAGATAAGCTTCAATAAATATACCGCTTTGGATGGAAGTCATATGGGTGGGAGGTAGAATGAAGGAGGGGAAAACTATTGCTTCATTAGCACAGGTTACAACAGCCTAAAGCAGAGTTTCTTGAAACTCTTGAGCATTTTTTCTTCTGAAGTGCAGTTTCAAGACAACGATACTGAATCCCTTCATTATAAAAATGCTTTTAAAAGTAATGATTTCCATTAAAGGAAGTAAAGCAGAACAGAAAAATGCTGGGCTAGAAACAAGTTAATCTGCTTATTGTGCAGAAATTATAAAAAAAAATTTTCAATTTACTGGCTGATCAACTTTAACTGTCTAAGCTTATGTAAAGCAGCACAAGATTTCTAGAATACTACCTCAAAAACTGAACTTCCTGAAATTTGAGAAATACATAGAGGAAAGCCACTCTGTCACTGCATAACTATTTTGCTAATCATTTCCCTGGGCTTCTTATTTACCTAGTCCTCCAACCAACAGAAGTAAGTATCTCAAAACTCTCTTGTGAGTGCTGAGAGGAGCTAGCAGAAAAAAAAAAAAAAGGAAGGGGACAATAAAATAAAAATGAAGGCATAGAGTGGCTATGCCTACTGGTAAATATGTACCCAACAGATCATATTTTCACCCAGACTTACAAGAATTTAATCTTTAAAGAACATACTTTTCATACCTGTGTTGCCCATAAGCATCATCCTTCTACTGATATGGACTAAACTGTTGACTGTATACAAATATATATGTATACACATTTATATAGAAAAAGATGTCCCATGAGCCACATAATCTGATTTCCTTTTGATAAGGAGATACAAAATGTTCAAGAAATAACAAGACTCTTTAAAATTTATACCTGAGATTGTTCATTTGAGCTCACCTACACAAAGCTGCACAAATAAATACTTTTTTAAGCTTTTCTGAAATTTTTCCTCAAGAAAGATGAAAATGAATGATACTGCACATTCCTAACATGGTAACAACACTATTTATCAGTAGAGACAAAGTAAACGACAACAGCCAGGGCTGACCATAGGAAAACATCGGGACAGGAGAACAGTGACACTGATCATACAAGAACACAAGAGCAGAAGTAAAACAGAATTACACAACAGAGAATCAGGAGGTTGGTGGCTGTTGTACTGTGAACAGCTTTCTTTAAGTTATTACCTCTCCATCTTTAAAAACAAAAAGGAGAGAAACACAGGAAAAGAAGAGACTTCTGTACAAATGTTTCAGAGAAAAGGAGACCACTGCTAATAATGCAATATGATTTACACACAGAGTTGAAGCTCAAGTTTGCTCTGACACAGACATTAATATCAGCAATACGTTAATGCAATCCTGCTGCCACCCCGTGGTACTTCAAAGTACCTGCTCTGAGGAAAGTAGCACACTTTCTTACAATGAAAAAAACAAATTTTAAATTACTCTCTAATTGAACCAAACATCTTTTCAAAGGAACTCACTACTTAAAGTATCTACTGCTGATAAATTTAAATTTAGCTTAGATTTAACAACACTGCAGAGTGATATGACTAAAAAAAACAGCTGAGCACAAGTAACCATACTTATTTGAGCCCAGATTCAAACCTTCAGTGCCCAAGTCAATGCAAAGGCTTTCCTCAGTTTTGAAGTTCATATCTCTCCAAACCAAAGAGAGATGACTGACATTCAGTCCAACAGTTTCAATCAAGAATTTTCTAGTCTGTAAACACCTACCAGTTTCGTCCTCCAACTGCTTATCTTCCTAGCAAACATGCTGAATAAGATTTTTCATTACTTAGAAAACACGCACAATTTCTGCTGACTTCTTACCACACACATGATGTAAGACAGGATGGCCCCAGAGGAGCCAATGAGTGCACCAACAATGGTCAGCAAGTTGTTGTTCAGTAGGAAGCCCTCAGCACACAAAGCCCATCCAGAGTAACTGTTCAGGACAGTAATAACTACAGGCATGTCAGCACCTCCAATAGCTGCTGTTAAAGTGACGCCCTGGAAAAGGAAAAATACTTCAGTAAAAGCTACGACTAAACAGAACATGCAGAGAAGACAGTCTGCCTGCAGCACCGGAAATTAAATATCAAGTTACTTAACAACATATTCAAGTATTTTCAATGTAGGAGACGCCAAGTTGCGGCCTGAGGATCAGACTTACTGACTCTGCCTTTTGAGAGAGGACAGGAAGGCACTCCACTGTCCTCATCCTGCACTTAGTCACATATTTTTACTCGCAAAAATATCCTACCAGCTCCATGGAACTGTTCATACCATTAAAGGATTCACACTGAGCAGTCTTTGAAAAACACAGTTTACAGAATGGTAATACTAAGGGTAAATTTTGCAACAGCTGGTGTGAGTGAATGTGGGAAGCTACATATGGGGATAATCTTACTAAGTTATCATAATAACCTGTAGATCCAGTGCTTTTAAGTATTTTAGGGATAAACTTTCCAAAAAGTCTTTTAAAATACCCGTTTGTCATATAAAAGGCTCCATTAAGACACAGCTGCAAAAAGTAATTATATACATAGATGTTTCTTTTCTGGAACAGTTCTGGTTTACGGCAATTTAGGAAAGTCAGTTGCTACTTGCTATTGCAAGTTAGCATACAGGCACTATGATGACTGTGACTCAGGATGGTAAAACACAATCATTAAGAGGAACTTGCAAAGCTGAAGAAGAAACTGCTTGTTTAATTTGTTTCACCTCCTATAATTCCCTGACTTACCATTATGGCTGAGAGAGCTGACACAGAACCTAAGCAAGTAATTCCCATAGTGTAACTAGGATCAATCATGTACGGAACCATTCCGCCAACGCTGGCAGCCAGCAACCCTGCATTCAATGCATGTCGACCAGGCAAGAGCAGTGGTGCAGAATTCAAGATACCTGCAATCAAATGCATATTCAGAGACAGACACATACATGCATGAGAGCCTGTCTCTTGCCTTCAGAGAAGGCTGAATAGCTCAGCAAAAGAAAAATTACAAAAAGAAAAAAGGAGGGTCAGAAAATAAAACAAGTTAGTTGAAGCTGAGACCCCGCACTGACTCAGTACTGCAACACATTCAAACTTAACTCTAGATTCTCAAATACTGTTTAAAGTCTTGTTTTACTTCCTAATGTTGCTGAAGTGCTTCAGAATAACCACAACAATCTCTTCTTCTCTTGAAAGCCTCTCCTTTTTTTTTTTTCCAAAACATACTTTCATTCTGGCCCCAAGTCTTTGCATGTTAAGTATGAGGCTCCCTAATAGGAAGCTTTTAGCCGGAACTTCTTAGTACAGCTACTATCTCAGTCTCTCAAAAGCTGTGCGCTCAGAAAAATATGACGATGTTGATAACCCCAAGTATAAAACACTCCAGCTTTCAAATGCTTTGATTTCACTAGTTCCCTCAGACACACAGACTTCCCACAGTTTCCCACATTGGCAGAGACTTAAGGGGAAAAGAGGGTTCAGTATTGTGTGATTCAGTTTAAAAAGACAATTCCGTACTTATTTCACCCTAGGCTTCCCCCTGCCCCAAACAACACAGCAAAGAGTTAAAATAATGCAAGTTTATCTGTTACTTTTTCTCTAAGGAATTACTTACCAAGTGTCTCATTTAAATTTAGCTGAATTCAAGGGAAAGAATGAACTGATGCTCTCAGGACCAGGAATCAAAGTGTGTGACCTAACACCTCTAGTTCAATATTATAGACAAGCTTATTTTTTCACACCATGCTGATATGAAAATGCAAGGGGAAAAAACACAAACAAAAACCAGGAGATAGGACTGAAACAGGCAGTGAAGTTCACCAGGAACATATGCACAAATCACTGAGAGGGTTGGAGGGTAAGATGGAGAAGAGAAAAAAAGAAAATAACTGAGAAGAAATAAATGAGTAACTACTTAGCAGAAATACATCAGAAATACATACTACTGACAAATCCTTCAAAAGATTATTAGAGAAGACAGATTTCCATCCATGTCATGCTTCCTCCTTCAATGACTGGTCTCAAACACTGAAGAAAGCAAACAGATGTTTCCCAAAGGAACTAATGCAAAGCTAGTAACAGGATTAGCAATAGGAAGCTCTTAGCCACAACTTCTTAGTACAGGTATTAGGTCAGTCCCTCAAAAGCTGTGTGCTTACAAAACTGAAAATAAATGCAAAGAAACCTTCTGGTGCATAAGCATCAGGAATTAGTGAGCATTTAATTTAGAAGGTATATTTACTAAAACAGTAAGAAGTACGGAGCATGGAGTTTGCACAGTAGGTAGACAGTGAACTGAATGGTTTAAAGTGAGGTAGTCTCAACTGATACTGCAAGCTACCTACCTAAATGAATCCTGCAACGCTAAGAACAAAATCCCATAAATATTAGCAGTGCTCACTAAGTCCAGCAACACCAGGGTTTCAATTAAAATGTCTGCTCAGGAATACAAAGTTGTGATCACAAAAGTTCAATAAAATCAATTAGACAAACACTGTCAGATAGTGTCTTAACAACACTAAAGCAACACTTATTTCTAGACAAGATGAATTCAGGAAAGCTTACACAACTTGGTAATTAATAGCAGTAGTATGTCCAAGCACTGAAGACAAACCTTCCATAACTAAAACTGCACACAAATGAAACAGAATTAAAAAGAAAAAAGTACACTCATAAGAATTAAACATCTGAACTTTTACCTGATGCAAAATACAAGTTTTCTCTCCAATTACACAGCAGTCTAAAGGCAGAGCTAAACCCTGAGAGGAAAAATAAAAACTGTAACAAATACTTAATTCTGAATGGAAGGTCTCACCTTGCAGTTTTCCATAAGCGACAAGAGAGCCACTGAAAGTCACTCCACCAATGTAGGTGCCAAGGTACGCCACAATCTTGGTGAGGTTTGCAGCTGGATCAGTAGCGAAGTGAGGATATTCAATCATGTATTCTGCTACACAGGTGAGCACAGCAGCCAAACCAACCAAACTATGGAAAGCAGCCACTAGCTGAGGCAGATCTGTAATCTGGATGCGTTTAGCAATCGTCAAACCTATTCAGAGTTGAAGACACAAGGGAAGTCTCATAAAACACAGTCAAGCTGTGCAGCTAAAAATCAATGTATCATGGTTCGGTGTGCAATAACCACATGCACACACTTGCCTGTTCCAACTGAAAAATTTGTTCTACAGTAGAAATTGCTATTGCATTTAACTGAAATGTTAAATGCTGCATATGTGTATTTTGTGCAATGAGGATATAATGGAAATTAGAAGACTAAAGCATATCATGTTCTTAGAAGCTTCACTAAATATTGAGAAATTCGGTATTTTCTGTGATGATAGCACAGCATGAAAAACGGAACTTGGCAGCATTCAGTCAGGAACTGAACAGAAGTACGAAGCTGGGCAAGTTCATTCACCTCTGCATACCCAGCTTCCCTAACAGAGATGATGTACTCCTGCTTTTCCAGCAGTCTCCCCATTCTTTACCACATCCTGATATTAATAAAAGCCCTGGGACTCATTATTCTTTGTTCATATACTTGCAAAATAACATACACAAGCCATAAATGTAAGTCAGTCAATTCGCCTGTGAGCTATACAGTATTTTCTGTATACACAGCTTGCATAAATGCATATATAGACCATATATTGTTAGTTTATAGTATCATACACATACCTATGGTACCACCAAGTGCCATTGCACCTGACATCTGTGCCAACAATTCAGGTGAGGGTTTAAGGCCTCCAAGAGTTGCTGCTAAACCTCCTGCAACACCAATCATACCCAAAGCATTTCCAAGACGAGCTGTTCCTTGGGTGGACAGTCCAGCCAGGGCACCAACACAGCATAGGCCAGAGCCCAGATACATCATCTTTAAAATAAGGAAAAGATCAATATACATACACGAAGCAGAGACAAATTGCATAATCATAATAAAAATCTTTCTGATTATTACACAAAAGGGTTGATTTTTCCAGAATGTGTGTAAGTCACAGTTCTTAACTGAAGTCAAAACTCTTGACTGTGAGAAACTGTTGTACAGGATGTGATTTTGGCCAAATAAAATGTGGTGTCTATTAAAAGTTCTTTCCCTGGTTTATCTGCACTGTGAATACTAAACTTGAGTAAAGTCAATTTTCCTTATCAGTTCAGAAGCAAGTTTTTCTTTAGCGCAAACCCAAAGCTAAATGGTCCTGTTCATTATAGGAATAGTTTCAGAATTTGCTTATGGCACATCGGAACTCCTGTTTTCCAAGAAGTATAACCAAACTTAAATGAACTGAGCCGTTGAAAAAAACTCTATTACATCTATCTATTACAAGCCTCTGGCATAAAAGGTATGTTTGGAATCACTTTTTCCAAACACAGAAGGCAATAAACACTGATTTTTCTTACTGTTAAAACAAATTCAAACAATACCATAAGAAGTGCTACAGGTACAACACCTGTACATCCCCCTGTGCTGAAATCTCATCCTATCCAGATGTCATACCCACTTTAACTGTCACACCAAGCTGAAATTTTCAGAAACGTTTAAAGCAGACTGATTTCTGTAGTTGCTCTAATATTTAAGCTGTAATTTAGGAGAACTGCCCAACAAAGTACCTCCTGCTTTATAAGGAAAAAAAAACACACCACCAAAAAAACCAAACAAAAAGCTTTTTAAATTTGTAGATTCAGCTTTTGGAGTATGATCGGAAGCTTAAAGTTAATCAACTTTAGGACAAGAGAAAATGGTCTCAAGTTGCACCAGGGGAGGTTCAGGCTGGATGTTAGGAAGAACTTCTGACTGTAAGAGTCGTTAGGCATTGGAACAGCCTCCCCAGGGAGGTGGTAGACTCACCATCCCTGGAGGTGTTCAAAAAACATTTAGATGTGGCGCATCAAGACATGGTTTAGTGGGTTTAGCGGGCATGGTGTCATTGGGTATACAGTTGGACTTGACGATCTTTGAGGTCTCTTCCAACCATAATGATTCTATGATTCTAACTTCAGACTGGCCTTGTGGGAATATGTAGATGATGAAGAGACCATGGCTAATTTGCTGTTGACTCCTCAAGCAAGTAAGCAAGCAGTGAAGAAGCATACCACGCTGTGAACAGTGGGCTAAGAGCCACAAAGTTTATTCTTACCTGTTCAGTATTATAGCCACCACTGAGAGCAGCTGCATAGCCTCCTACAAATACACCACCAGGAAGTAGGTACAAGTAGTTGTACTCAGGAGGATCTGTGGGACGTTTGAACATATCCAGCATTCTCTGTGTAACTAGAAACCCACCTGGCCAAAGTAAAGGAACAATTTTAAAAAAAATAAAATCTGAAACTAAGCATATGTCAAGCTATAAGAGAAATATGTGGTTAAATCATATTGCCACACAAAGTTAGCAATTGACACCACTAAAGCCTCTGAGGGGTAGTAATCTGGAAAACCATCAGGAAACAAAGGCGTAATCAGGGTGAGATCCTATTGCCTTTTTTAACCTTTGGAGGAAAATCATAAAGGGAGTTCGAAAGCCTGGAGGACTCCCTCTGGCTTCATAGTCTATGCTGACTGTAGGACACAGCTTAGTTTATGACTGTGTCCTTTTCCCTATCTACTCCAGCTAAAAGTAGTATTTGTAAGTCACATTGCTCACTTTCTTGTCTTTTTCATTCATGAAGCTGGGACTTCTGAAGTTCAAGCAAGCAGAATTTTGTTCTATGCCACTAGCATATTTTCAAGTAGGAAAAGGAATACAAGGATAAAGGCAGTATCATCTTCGGATATACAGGAAAAGATACTTCATATAATCATCACCCAAAGGATACTGTAAAAGAAAAATGCACATTTAAATGTTTCCCTAAAAAAAAAAGGTTACACCACAGGGTGTGCAAACCAGACACAATAAGTACTATGAAAATTTAGGTGAGAGTGGGAAGTTCTTTATTGATGGATGTTTTCAGATCCTATTCACAGAATAGTATTTCTGGAATCTATACAATTAAAGTGCTAGAAGAAATAAAAGAATTACACAAGTCCTTTAAAGTTACTCTCAGGAGAAAACCTAACATTCATACCTGCAATATTGACTGAAGAGATAAAGGCTGAAAGCACTGCTAGACTTTGAGGAGTGTTTTCAGGGAGATAGTTTCCTCCCATCAATACCAGTCCACCAACTGCAGTCAGTCCTATTTAAAAGAGAGAAAAAGCATTACCAAACCTTAAAAGGCTCTACACATACAGTTAGTTTCCTTTCAGCAGTCAAACAGATACCAGTCAACTCAAATTTTGACCCCTGCTGTACACATTAGCTTTTAAACAAAGACTACCATGGTCTTTTTCAGCAATACAAACATGTCTCAAGAGAAAAAAATTAATATATGAATATAGTTTTGAAGTACAGTGTCTTAAGCACAGAGTCAGCCTCTGAGTACTTGTTCAATAAAAGAAACTGCTTTTAACAGTCAAAGTAGATCAGACTCATGACCTGTCACATATACACACACATAGATATATAAAATCTTACATATTTATGGAGTTATGAATCTTATGGGTCACTGGGATTTTCTTCTTCTTCCTCTCTCTCAAAACACATAGTTTGAGGAGAAGAAAAAAAGAATGCAGAAACTATGAAAGACAAGTTATTTTCAGTGCAACACTTCGGAGAGTTGAGAGGAAAGATATGGTCTATGAAACGAGAGACTGCAGCACTCCAAGTAAAACAAACTTTAAAACATAAAGGTTAAGACTGAAGAAATACTTACAAAAATGAAAAAATACACAGCACCACATTTGCCTTTCTTTTGAAAACACATACTCTTGGAAAGTATATTTTAGGTGTCCTTAATATTTAAAAAAGTAAGCTCAGATATGCAAAATAGTAATAGGCTCTTTGGCATTTTAAAAGGCATATCAACAGATTTCTATCTAAAGATCAAGTAAAAGGAGCTGTCCCTACTTCAAAGAGAAAACAAGCAGCTGTGTGACAGCTACTTACCTGAGATAGCATTAGTCACTGACATGAGTGGAGAGTGAAGAGCAGGAGTCACGCCCCATACTGTATGGTAACCCACTATTCCAGCTAGGCCAAATGTTGTCACCATTTGCGTGAAAGCAGTATTAGGAGATGCAATGCCCAGTCCTAACATGCCAGCTAAGCCTAGAAGAAAAGCACATCAAAACTTTGCTGTAACTTCTCAATGGTTTCTTACATTTAAATCCTGTATAACAGGAGTCCAGCACTGAGCTAAAAGCAAAATGGAGTTTTGTGCATGGACTTGTTTCAACATCGTCTGGATCATCTTTCTGAACTGTAAGGTTCTCCTGGTGCTTATGTTTCTTTTACAATAGAAAATAATAAATAAATATAATATACACATCTTTGTTACGCATGCACACAAAGCAGCAAAGATTGGTGTCTACACCAACACTGAATCCAGTCACTCTCCTGTTCTACAGCAAAAATGCAGAAAAGTCACAATCACGTTGAGATACTACTTGAAATAGTCAAAGCGTACATATGAAGAACAGAGGTTAAAATTAAGAACACTCAATTCATTAATTACTTCATGCAGAAGTTCTGATGCACACAGAATACCAAATGACAAGCAGAGCCAGTATTTATTTGTCAAGACGAATGTCCTATTCTCAGTACTTCAGTAGGTAGTGGGCATTTAAGTCTCATACAACACGTTAGAGTTTGAAGAAAGCAATGGCATTGAACTGATTCTGCTGCAAAGTATGGGCACAGTCCCTAAGAGGACTCCTTCAGAATTTTAAGTATTTTACTGCTACCTAAATAAAGTCAAACACATATACATGGACACAGCATGAGTCAGCACTGTTGGAAATGCTAATACTTCTGGTTAAATTTCTAAAATTTTATTTTCTCTCTCAAAAGCAATTATTACACTATACTGATTTTGCACTACAATACACCAGCCAATCAACTGCTCTCCCAACTAGTTACCAAATTGAATGAGTAAGATGAGGAGTCACTTAAAAGTAGTAGCCAAATGAGGAGCAGTCTACACTGATTCTCCAACTCCGGAAATTGCCTACCTGCTGTGTACACAGATGCACTAGTCATAGTTTTTCTAAAAGGTGTAATAGTAGCTGCTTTTTCCGCTTCCAGCTCTGCTACAGTCTTCTGCTTCACAGGCGCTCCTTGAGGAATGTTATTTGGTGGAGGTGCTGGGAAAATCACCTTGCCATCCTGACAAGAGATATTTACAGTTATCCCTAACATGGCAGATGTTCTATAGATAGAGGAGCCTACTCTTCTTAATCCTGCAACTCAGATAAGCCTTAACATCCTACAGCCATGCCACAGGAACATCTTCCTTTCCTGCATAAGCAGAAGTTTGCAAGGCTACATTATCAGTACAGCCTGACCAAGTTAACCCACACTGGTTTACACATTTTTCAGACAAGACTTAATATATCAGTGTCTAAGAGCACCTGGCAGAAACACAGCATGAGGCTTAAAAGTAGAAACCAAAACAAAGAGGTAAAGTTCCTTAAATGGAAAACATTTATGCAAAATAAAACAAGGTTTTGAAAATCACAAAATCTGCTACAGATCTGAACTGTAATCAGAGTCTGCCCAGACCTCAGCTAGGTACCAAGCATGATGTCTCACATTTCACACTGTTCTCCAGGTCTCTGGAGGAATAACTCGTGGAGCTGTCAAACCTTAGCTGTACACATCACTTCAGTCATCTGGGGGAGTTGAAGTCAATGCAAGCCTCCTCCAGAGTAGATATTGAAAGCATTACAAAATGTTGGCAACGTTATGCAGTAAAACTCAACAGAATTCATACCTCTTACCTAAACTGTAAATTATAATTTCCTAATAGTTGCAGGAGGAGAGCCTATACTGGCCCATGCCCTAAGTTTGTATTTTAGTAATTCCTAATAGACCTTAAAGTACCCTGCACGTTCTAGTTCCACTAGCTTTTTCTGAAGTCACTCTTACAAGAACAGAAACATGTATTTATCTAAAAACAAAGGAAGAGTATTTTTCTGGTCCTGTAGTAAAGTTTCAAACATGTTTTAAATACTACAGTTTTGCCACATGAATACAACATGCAGATTTAATCTTTTTCCTATTTTTCGATAGTAGACGTTAGGCATTTGTTTAACCATGACAAGACGACAAAAGCAAAGAGGTTTCCCTTCACAAAAAGGGACAGACGAATATTCAGCTCAATACAAACATGATTGCCCACACTGTCCATCAAGTCACATAGGAGGTCCATTAGCATGCAGTATCTTTGAACGTATTTTAAAGAAACAACACTGTTAAATGTAAAAGTATATACTCACAAATTAAGAAGAGAATATTTACTGACTTACTTTCATTACTACAGTTCCTCTAATAACATGATCCAGAGTTCCATAATCAAATTCATCTTTTGGATCAAAGTAAAAGTTCTCTTTGTCAGGACTAATAGCCTTTAGGAGTTTGATAATATTATTGGAATACAGAGTACTGGCCTGAGTAGCCATTCTGCTAGGCAGGTCTGTGTAGCCAATGTGTGTAACACCCTGAAAAAAACGTTGAGTAAAATGTTAAGGATTAGTACGATCTCTTCCAATATATTCTTCTGGATATATATCCAAACTGTTTCATTTATTTCTGTTTTTAACCCCAGCTAAAACTGTTACCTGCAGCTCTAACATTATTAAGTCATGGAAGGATTACTCACAACAGTTACAGAACTCAGCATGATCAAACCCAATGCCTTACACGTTATTAGCAACAAGCCTAAACAGAGAGGAAGGTGTATTGGTGCAAGAGCTTGTCCTCTCCAAATCCTACCATTCTGTCAGAACTTAGCTTCTTAAAGAAACTAGATAACAGATTTTCCTGCCCAATGCTTGGCATCTTCTCGGTCCTTCTGGAGGGTACACACCAGAGGCAACTTTCTATGCGACAGAGGAGTGAAGGGAGCTTCCTGAGAGCTAGCTTGCTATGCAAGGAATATGCCAGGGTTCACATTTATGCAAAGATGTAACATAATATATCCACACTGTTTAAAGAACAAATGTGAGTATAACTGGCTATCAGGCTTTTGGAGGATATGGGAAGCTGAGGCTGGAATAGACTCATGTTCAAGCAGGCCTGTGTTAAAACACTGCTCCTGCAACTTACAGTTAAGATCCGTGCATGCTTCCAGGAACTCTGGCTTCTTACTGCAACATTCCAACACACTGCTAATAGTTCTGCACTGCTGCTCTTTTCCACAGCTCAGTGCCAGTACACTATATCCAGGGGTAATACTCCTCTGACTAAAAGCACTCCATATAAATTCTTCATGCAAGTATCTGCTTATTTTACTCTGATTTCAGTTTTTAAGCAACTACATCAAAAGCCCTAGAAAACCACAAAGCCAAATACAACGCGTAACTCATCATATGTACACACACAGCCCAGCTTATATTAATGACAACCAAGGCAGTAGTATGTCCTACAGGCTTCCCTAATAACAGGATTATGTCCTTACACTACCAAATAACAACCTTGGAAATCTGCTACTTTAAATCACATCACCCAAATTTCTACAACTCCTAGTAGATTTCTCACAAGTGCCAAAAATAGAACTCCAAAAGTAGGAAAACGAGCTCTCAACTGAGCCAATGAACACTGGAGCAAAAACAAAGTAGTTACTTCAGAATCAGAGCAAACAGTAGTTAGAGCAAAATTTCTTTAATGAACCAATTCATGCTTCGCCTAGTTTGGGTTACAGGTGGTTTGGATCCTCTAGGGCAGACACACTCATGTTGGCAAAGCTAAAGACATACAAAGACAGCACTCTCCCGAAGCTGAAATTATATTGAGCTAAACCAAAGACTTTGCACTGAAGTAAACACTGACATAATTTGAACCTGTTTAGTTTACCTGTGACAGGGACCGTTAACCTCCAGTTGTGGGAGGTGATAAGCAAGTCAAAGAAACTGTTGCTACTGCTATCTCTTTAGATAGACTAAGAAATAGACGTCAAACCACACTCTCAACTCAGCAGAGGCAAATCACTGGACTTGGAAGTCTAAGTAGTAAGAATTCCATACTTAACAACCAAATTAACACTATACAAAGGTATCTGTTTCTTTAAAAAACTTCAAATTGTTAGAGATGACTAGTGACCAAATGCAAAGCTAAAGGATTACTTAAGCTCAAATAGCAAAATCAGCTACTCATTTTCAGCATAGTTTACAAAACGCAATCTGATTTCATGCAAACTGAGAATGATCTGCAGATTAAAATGCTCACCTTATGAACATACATTTCTCCAGGTTTTGTAGTCTCAATGTTCCCTCCTGCTTCTGCAGCTAAATCCACAACAACTGAACCTTCCTTCATTGATTCAATCATATCTTTCTTAAATAAGATGGGAGCTTTTTTGCCTGAGAAGACAAGGCACAGCAAAGTTAAACACAAAATACAGATTTTTTTACCTGCAGAGCTCAGATGAGTTCCGTCCTTCTCTCTCTCTCTCTCTCACAATCTTATTTTTGTGAGCAAAATTTTCAAGTAAACGGTACCTAGAATGAAATGTCACAAAAGGTTTGTTTATACAGGCAGAGAGAAGAGATGCTAGAACATCTTGATCCCAAGCATATAAAAAAAGGCATGCATAGGCAGTCTCCCAAAGATGCTGGCAAGCCCAATTTTGTCCCCAGTAAACTGACAACGTCCAGTCTTACAATTCAAGTCATAACCACAAAAAAAACCAAACCACCCACATCATAAGACGTTGTGCAATACAAAGCACTAAAGCCTAAGCTCTACCTTACTATGTTTCAATTACAAAAGACAGTATACCACTTCAAATGGATTTGTTCAGTGCAGAAGCTGGATAGCAGAAGTAGCAGTGATGCAATAAATATGCAAGAGAACTACATACTCTTACATTACTACTATCTACCTGTTTAATAAGCAAACATGACGATATTGAGTCAAAGACTGCTAGTTTGTGAAAACAAAAGTTGTAAAAAAAGGCACACACTTTAAAAACAGGTATTTATCAGCGAAGGGAAAAGGTATGTACTCTGACGTAATTCATTAAGATCTCTCTCTTAACTGCAGGCACAGCTCCAAAACATGACAATTTACGCAAGATAAATGAAAATTAGCATCTTGCACATGAAATATACCTGGAATAAGTGCTGTAGTGATGATAATATCAACATCTTGGCACTGCTTGGCAAAGAGTTTCATTTCAGCTTCAATAAATTCTTTGGACATTTCTTTAGCATAACCACCTTGTCCCTCTCCAGACTCCTTTAAGTCTACTTCCAAAGGCTCAGCACCTAGAGACTTGAACTGTTCCAGAGCTGCAGCTCTAAGAAAAGAAAATTGCAGGGCAAGAAACAACCATTACCTCAGAAAATCCACCATGACTCTCCTGGTCTTTTTAGTAGCAGTCTTCAGATATGAGATCTAGAACTTTTTCTAGTATTAAGGAGACCATAACTAAAGTCCTCAACTTTCTGTATTTAATGAAAAAGTAATTGCATCACTAACTTTAAGCCCCCAAACAAGATACTGAAAGATAAAGAATGAAGGAAGTCTATGGTTTCCTGTGTAGTCAGCAGAGTTGCTCCAAGAAAAGTCTCAAAGCTGGGAGCTTAATACTAACTTTGCTCACCCATTTCTCTTGTCATGACTAGGTAAATCTACAGCCCAAACTTAGATACCTAAGAGAGATGATAAATACACAACCTGTGGCCCTGTCTTTAATCTGTGAAATGGGAAGTACTATTAAGTAACTCTGATTTCCACAGGGAAAATGGGTTGGGGGGTGACGGTGGCATTTTGGTGGTGGATTTTGGGGGG